TTCTTGGAAGACATGTGTTAGGATATTTAGGGTAACAGTAATTGAATTCTGTGTGAAATGAACTCTTAAATGGCTCACTAAAAAAATATGTGTGTGAACATGCCAGTATGTGGAGGAAACAAGGAAAAGCAATGAGACAAAATGTTAACAATTGGTAAACTTGATAGAGGGCTCATGAGCATTCATTGTGCTATTTGTGCATCTTTTTCTGTAGGTTTAAAGTTTTTAGAAAAGTTAAAAGTTGGGGGAAATAATGTGCCATGTTATTAATTTCAACATTCCCGCATTCGTATTGGGACCATTCCTTCCCAAGGGCCAAAGCAAATCTTTTTATTGTAAGGCACAGTGAGATGTCAAGATCACAAAGAGAGGTGTTAAATAAACTGTTGAGGAGGCTGAGGCAAAAGGATCACAAGTTAGGGCTCAGCCTGGGCAACTTAGTGATTTAGGGAGACTTTTGCTCAAAAATAAAAATTAAGGGCTGGGAGTGTATCTCAGTGTGAAGGTCCTGGGTTCAATCCCCAACACCACACTGAGAAAAGTGTTTAGGGCTTTAGATCACTCAGTTGGTTTAAAAAAAATTATCTGTGCTTGGATGACCTTGAAGAGAGGCAGAACTGTTGAAGACTGGTAATATTTTCTTCTGCCCTCAAGTAAGCCAAGCACACCCCCCATTTGAGTCTCCAAGGCTCTGGGCCCAGGTGTGAGCTTTTCTTCTGGCTTCTTTTGATCAGAAGTGACCTTCCACTTGTGCTTTTGCAGCTCATGGCAAATGTGATTTCATGTGTCACACATCAAATAGCACTTTTAGAAAAATCAGTTAGGTTTTCCATTAGCCTAAAATGGCTTGTTCAGGAAGAGATACCTCCAGACTTAGGAAACAGAGTTTGGTATGCGCTGATACTTTATAACTCCAAGGTCTTAACAGAAGCGAGTTGTGTAAAGCAAAATATTGCCTGGAATACTCTGCGGACTCCACAGTAAGAACTACATTGCAGGCCAACAGTGGTGTGGTGAACTTGTGCCCAGGGCTTGAAAACCTGAATAGCTGGTAAAGAAAGCTCTGAGAAATAGGACACAAGGACCTTGTGCCAGCAGAGGGATAGACAAGGAAATATGGTCCTCTCTTTCTGCTCCCTCTTGTGGGAGAAAGGTTGGGCACAAGACAATGGGCTGATCTACACCATCATCTCTATGGTAACACAGGATGGAAAACCAAGTCTTCACTACCATCCTGAAGGAATTCCAGCACTCAGCCAACTGCACAAAAACCTCAGGCAAAGTTTAGTGTCTCCTCCTCTGGTCACAGAAGAGGAAAACAAAACCAAAGCAATCATTATCATTACAAAGTAACTCTGAACTAAAGGTGGTAGGTAGGGCTGGGGATACAAAACTAAGGAACATACAGTCCCTCCTCTCAAATGATTCAGGTGAGCAGAGATGAGTGTGCGAAACCAAAGCAGTAGAACCTAGAGGAAAGAAGACAAGGACAACCCAGGAAGAAAGAGCATCAGGCATGAGGCAGCATTCCAGAATGGATGGGAAGAGGGGGCCTGTTCTCAGGGACCTGAGGAAGGACATTCTTCCACGGACACAGAGGGAAGGGAAGACAGGGTGGACAGTCTTCAGTAGACAGCAAGATCGCAGCATTGAAACTCTGAGTTGAAAAGGTACTATCTTGAGTCTTGATGGATTCATCACCAATATAATCTCAGCAGCTTTCTGAATGGATGACTTACTTTAAGGAAAAAGGAAGAAAAATAAGTTACAGTCATTTGATTAAGGATTTATATGGAGCATAAATCTGGCTAAGCATTATTTGGTTAAGTCATTCTCTGTAAGTACTGTATATCCTTCTCAAATTGTATGATTAACATTTCTAATGTTAACATTTCAAATAAAAATTACAATATCTTTTATGTTAAGTGAAATAAGCCAGGCACAGAAAATCAAATACTACATGATCCCATATGTGGAATCTAAAAATGTTAACTTCACAGGAACGGAGTGAAATATTGGTGACCAAAGGCTGGTGATTTGGAGAGGGAAAGATACTGATCAAAGGATATGACATTTCAGTTAGGAAGAATAATTTTAAGAGATCCACTGCACATTATGGTGACTATAGTTAATAAGAATATATTGTATGCTTGAAAACTGCTGACAGTAGATTTGAAATGTTCTCACCACACACACACACACACACACACACACACACACACACACAGATGCACTTGTTGAAAGTTCAATTTTACCACTCCACAATGTACATACATATCAAGAACATTATGTCACAAATTATGATACAGACAGTTTTACTTATCAATTAAAAATCAAACATTTTAAAGAAAAAAATGTTAATAAAATTCCACTGTTTTTGTCTCAGTCACTTTCCCATTGCTAGGACAAAATACCTGACACCTACCACTTCAGGAAGAAGAGATTATATAGAGTCATGGGTTCAGTCCATAGTCAGCCGACTGCAAGGCAGAAAAACTGTGGTGGAAACTCTTCACTGCATGGCAGCCAGGAACCTGAGAGGGAAAGGAAGAGCTGGGGAAGAAGATACACCCTTCCAGGTTACAGCTGGAGTGACCCACCTCTTTGAACCGGGTACCACCTCCTAACACCATACCAGCTTGGAACTCTTCAGTGGCTTACTCCTCTAATGAGTATAGCACCATTATGATCCAGTCATCTTCCAGAAGCCCCGCTTCTGAACATAAGAGCTTTTTCTGGGACATTCTAAATCTAAACCATAACATAACTTACCTAACATCTAAAACATAACTAAAAACATAACTTACTGTTTATATAACAGTATAAGGCAATGAGTTTTTAAAATTATTTACAAAATATAAACATAGAGATTAAAACCTTGAGAATGAACTTAAGAAATACAAGCATCCTGGTCAAATGCCTTCTGTCACCATACTCACTAATTTAACCACAATTTTGTAAATCTGATCTTCTCCCAGGTTAGAGCAAGTAGTATCGGGGTAGCATATCAAATAGAATAGTGGATGTGTCATGGATGATTCTGGTCAAGCAACTTCTGTCTTTGGCAGTTCTGGTCTAGTCAATAGTTTCTCTACTACTACTGAGCAGGCCGGATTTCAAAAAGCTGTTAATACGCCCGTTTGCTCGTAAGTCTATAGAGACTAAGCAACCAATGGGCAGAGATGGTCTAGCACACTCGAGTGCAGCCTCTCAGCCTGCCCTCCTGGGTTCGAATCCCCTTTTGCCACTCACCTGTGCCCTGGCTCTCTAACCTCTCTGCCTCAGTTTGTCTATCTTGAAGATATGGAAGAGGATACTAATACTATCCCTGTTGGGAAAATTAAATTAGTTCATAAGTTTAGAACAGTGCCTGCCTGGCATATAAAAAGTGCTCAGTAACTGTCAACACTATTAGCTATCAAAGGTTCAAAATATATACACACAAATAAAAAGCAAAATAAAGGACAGATAAATAGAAAGTAAAAGAGAAAAAAACAAAAGATGAAAAAGGTAAGTAAGAAGTTTAGATAATTCCCCCAACTTATCTATCACATTGTTTCAAACATATTTTAATGTGGATGCGAATTCACTTCTTTTATACTACTAGTTTCTCTTAGTTCATTGAATAGAAAATTTTTTGCTATTATTGGTTTCTTCTTTGTAAGAAAGAATTTTTTATCTATGTCTAGTACAATTCTCTCAATAACTACTTTAAAAATAATGATACACTGTATTAACTATTGTTATTCTCTCATTATTGTTTTATTTTTTCATAAATTTTTTTAAAACTTCAGATTTCTTCAAAGCTGTAGATATTGATGGCATCAGTTCTGTTTTCTATCTTTATTCTCTTAAAGACTTGCTTCATTTTTGTTGTTTTTATTTCCACTGTTTATGAAATTTATGAGACCAGATATTAAAAATTTTGGACCTTTTCACAAATCTAAGATAGATTCCTAATATAATGAAATCTGAGTTATTACTATCTTTTCAGTAAAATGGAATGCATGTAATATCAAAATATTATGAATATATTGCATTTCTTTTTTAGCTTGTTGTTTTTGTCTTGCTTTGCCCAGCAGAATTTAGGCCATGGATGATGGCCAAACAAGAGTGGCCACAGGTGACCACTGTTATTGTAGTCCGAGTTGACACATTTAATTCTGGTGCATGGCTTTGTCATCCAGGAAAATTAGTAAGTTGAGAGGTCATAGGTAGGGCATTCCTAAAAGACATGGCATAAAGCATTGGAAACACCCATGTTCCTCTGTACGATTACCCTACATAGGCAACATGCAGAGCTGTGCTCCATGTACAATGAGTGGCTATTGCTCAGTGAGTAAAGGTCAAGCACTATGGCACACACTCTGAGTGTATTATCTCTACTACTTAAACTAGAAAACGGTAATATGATTATCTGCACTCTATGGGTAAGGAAACTGACTCCGACTGGCAGAGCCATGACCCGAGCCCGGGGCCCTCCCGCTCAGACCTTGCTCTTCCCTGGCGCCCTGCAGCAGTGCCTGGCTTCATATCAGCTACAGCCCTGAGTGCAAGTGACAGCAGACCTGATGTCCTCCCTGGGACCGGGCTCCAGGCCCTGGCAGCACACAAGAAGAAGCGAAAGCACCAGACACCACCTCTGATGGGGTCAGAGGACAGCTGAGGCCCTCCGCCCTCACAGACCTGGGTGACCACAGGGACAGACCAGCCTAGCCTTACCCCTTTGCATTGGGGCCAGGCAACTTAATAAGGTTATTTTTTTTCTGAGTTTTTTTTTGTTATTGTTTTGGTTTGGTTTGGTTTTTGCAACACCGGGGATTGAACTCAGTGCCTTCACACTGAGCTACATTTCTAGCCTTTTTTATTTATTTATATTTTGAGACAGGATCTCGCTAAGTTACTAAGTTGCCCAGGCTGGGCTCAAATTTGTGATCTTCTTGCTTCAGCCTCCCAGAGTGCTGGGATCACAGGTGTGTGCCACCATGTCTGGTTAGGAAAGTGTTTTCAAAATGTAAATGTTTCTTCTAATTCACCACACGGCATTGATATTGTGTTGTAGCTCCTTTTCCTTCCACACTGCTGTTCGGTCTGACTGGGTACAACTGTTTGTACCTGCACAGAGCAGGATCCTCTTGAAGCCCAGGAATGTGACCCACAGTCCTGCCCCATTTATCCTAATAGCACAACAAAAGTTCAATCTGCTGCCTCATGCCCGTAGCCACAATGTTCGTAAAATGAGAAAAAGGTCAGCACCGTCTATCACTCCGGCTGTAGTATAAGTTAAGATTTGTGGTTGAAATAAAATTACCTTGCTGGTCATTCCCTGTTTCAACATGAAACCCCAAAATTCTTTCTGCAATTCTCCCTACTGGCATCTACATAGAAACAATAAAATAGGATGGCAAACAATAAATATTTGTACTTATTTTAACATGGCAAAAAGGACACAAGCCCATGGCTTATCAAAGGCACACTGATAAAGGCTTTCTGTCAAATGTGGGCTGTTGGAAGTTATACAAGGATTCCTACAATATCCACTACCTATTAGATTAGTCTTTGGATAAATAAAATAATTGAGGGGATTTTTCTAACCTTATTGGAGTAAATATGGTTAGTTTTCCTTGCTAACTAGAGTGTTTCTGTTGAACCTTTGTGGGTAGTGTCCCACCCAGTACAGAGGACAGTGTACACCACTGCCTTGGCAAGATGATACACTAGTCTTAGGTTTAGCAAGGTGTGGGCAGCCTGTGGTACAGACACCAGTTTCCAAGAGGTAGAGCTCACCATTCAAGTACTAGGTTCCAGATCTCACTGCTAACTAGCTTGGAACTTTAATCTGGTGTACACCAGATTAAGGGGCATCATGGCTCCCACCACAGGGAGTGGAAAACATTTCCTGAGCAAATTCCTGAAGAACAGGGAACGGGGACTGGCATGGCCAGCAGCTGGCCAGTGTGCGGTAGCACTGTGATGAACTGGCTGTCCTCAGCTCGACTTCCCTGTGTGCTGTGTGTACCTGTACTGCAGGCAACACAGCAAGTTCCAAGCTGATTGCTAGGCATTGTCAAACACTGGGAAAGATTCTGTATTTACACTGTGTTATTTAATTTTTACAACTTGGTAAGGTAGGCTGGGGTACTAGAGATTGGACACAGGGCCTTCACCATGAGCTACTTGCCCAACCCTTATTTTATTTTTTATTTTGAGAGAGTCTGAAAAGGGCACTAAATTGCCCGGGCTGGGCTCAGCTTCTTTGAGTGCTGGGATTACAGATGTGCACCACCATGCCTGGCTGAGGTAGGTATTCTTGACTCCATTTTCCAAGTAAGAAAACTCAGTTGATTTTTTTGTTCAAAGTCACACCACCTAGAAAGTCCTTTCTGTAGAGATAAAAGGAAAGGGTATTGTTAGTTTAGGGTGCTGGAATCAAATAAGATAGACTGAATGGTTAATAAGCAGCATAGCTATATTTCTTACAATTTTGGAGGCTGGGAAGTCTGATAGTGTGGCTCTGGTAGAGTCAGGATCTGCTAAGGGCCAGCTTCCGGCTTCATAAACAACCATCTTCCCTGTGTCCTCACATGGCGGAAAGAATGAGAAACTTCTGGGGCTCTTTTTAATAACAACCCTGATCTACCCATGGCAGCTCCTGCCTCAGGGTCTAGTCAACCCCGAAAGTCCCCATGTGTAGACACCATCACACTGCGGGTTAGTTTTCAACAACGAATGGGGGCATGAGCATTCAGTCTGTTGTTGGAGTATGCACACGTATGTTCTTACCTAGCCTAACATATGTACACCAAGCAAATTCTATCTAAGTACTGTATTTATGGTACCAAGTGTTGGTGAGACTGTGCAGAAAATCAGTCTTTTTTATGTGTATTGTACATGTTTGCAGTATAGAAGGATTACATCCATTGTGGGGGATTGGTACAAGCACATGACACACCTGAATTCTTTTTACTTCCTCTTCCCCTCTCTTCCTTCCTTTCTCCCTCCATTTCTTGGTCTCCTTCCTATTTGGAAAAGACCTATCTACCTGTGACCTATTATCTTTATTTTGCTCTTTAATTTATTTATATTTTGAGTTTCTCACATAAGAAAAATATGTGATATTTAAGCCTGTATATTGATTCATTTCACTTGACATTATGGTCTCAAGTTTCATCCATTTCCCCACAAATGCTCAAATTGATCCTTCTTGGTGGCAGAGTAGTGCTTGCTCTGGCAGCACATATACTTAGTGACAGAGTAGTACTCCACTGTGTGTAAATATCCCATTTTCCTTACTCATTTGTCTGTTGATGGACATATAGAAAATCACTCCCATACGTTTAATAGTAGATCTGCAAAGCATGTAATGGGTGTGATTTTTAAGCCAACAGCTTTAATGGAACTTACCCTCCATGTCTTGAAACAAATATGCCAAGAGAAAAAGTACCATGATATTCACTACAACATTGTTTATAGCACCAAAATGTATTACCAACATAAATGTCTTTCAGTATGAAGCAAAACAAATCATGTTATACAAATAATGAGATATGACTTAGTGTTTGATGGAAAAAGGTGGGACAGTGTTCAAGATATGCATCTTCTGACTCATTGTAAACTTGTATCAGGGAAGAGAAAAATCACTAGGGACAGTGGCAACCAACAGTGGCTCCTGCGAGGCAGGGAGAATTGATCTGAGTGTGGAATGAAAAATAGAATTGTTTCAGCCAGGCTAAGGAAAAGGGGAAAGGGTGGGGTAGCCATGGTCCAGGAAACTGGGGTGTATAATGGAAAGACTCCCACTTGTGGCCCCAAACCCCTACTGTAGGTGACCCAAGAGAAGGCCTCACAGAGAGTCCCCAGGGAAGTCCTGAGGTTGGCACTAAAGAGGGAACACTTTCTGTGAGAACACAAAGTGGCCGACAGGGAGGGAGCGATGTCTTTGGAAGTCTCAAGTTCCCTACTCAGACTTTGGCATGGACACGGTGTGGTTTCATTGACAGTGACAAATGAGGAGTGCTGACGTGAATGGGAGAGAGCTGGTGCAACACATCGGGTTCAATGTCCAGATCGTTTCTTTTTTCTGTCTTAGGAATACAGTTTTTCATGGACCTGGACTCACATAATTATGGGGACATAAACAGCTGGAAGTAAACCCTGAGAATGAAGACCTTTTTAAAAGAGTTGAACATATCTGTCAAGGCAAATGGTTCTTGTTTATTTCTACCTGCTTGCAGACTGTATTACGAGGTGGCTAATTTCGCAAGATGAGAACTCCTTGGTAGGCTTCTATGTACTCTTCAGGCAGGGCTACTTCTTCTCAGTCTGTTCTGACTTGTCTTGGAGTTATAGTAAAACACCACCAAGAAATAAATTTGTGTCTCAAAAGAAAAAGATATTTTCTTTTTTCCCTCAGCTCCTTTGTATTGCTATATGTTTGCCGTACATAATAAATATCTTCATCGTAGGGAAGTGATACGTACTCATTTCAAACCTTGACCCTTTCACCCTCCCTTTCCTTCCCCTCCCAGCCTCTTCCCCCACTCACAGCTCTACTTGCTATCTCCAAAAAGTCTACCTCCCTGTGTCCTGTCATGTAGCTTTTTTTTTTTGAGACAAGGTCTCATTATGCAGTTCAGGCTGATCTTGAACTCACTCATATAGCCCAGGCTAGCCTCAAACTCACAGCAATTCTCCTACCTCGGCTTACCTTTCATGTATCTTTTCTTTTACTCTTTAAATTATTTGTACTTGGGGTTTCTCATATAAAAGAAACCATGTGATATTGAACCTTCAGTCTCTATTTGCTTAACATTGTAGTCTCAAGGTGCATCTATTTTCCTACAAATGACTCAAATTTATCAGCCACTTTCTTTATCCACTCATCTGTTGATGGGTGTACGGGCCACCTCCATGATTTAGCTCTTATGGGTTATGCTGCTGTAAACCTGGGTATGCAAGTATCGCTGTAATATAATGCTTTTAACGCTTTGGAGGATATACCTAGAAGGAGAATAGTTGGCTCAAATGGAATTTCTAGTTTTAGTTCTGTGAGGACTCTCTGTATTGAGTTCCACAGTGGTTGTACTAGTCCCACCAGCAGTGTAGAAGGGTTCTTTTTTTTTTTTTTTTTTTTTTTTTTTGGTTTTTCTCCGGTACCGGGAACCGAACTCACGACCTTGCGCTTGCCAGGCAGGCGCTTTGCCGCTGAGCTAAATCCCCAGCCCCTAGAAGGGTTCTTTATTCATGGCAGCCTTACCAGAGTTTGCTGTTGTTTGCGTCATTCTTCCCAGGGTGAAACAGAATCTCCGGGTTGTTTTAGTTTGCATTTCTGTAATGGCCAGAGATATCGGGCACCTTCTCTCATGCACTCATTAGCCATTTGTATTTCTTTGAAGGAAAATGATTGAAAACCCCAGTTTGAGAAGCCAGCTGGTAAACCCTAGATAAGATCCCTACCCTGTATGTGGAAGAAGAGTGTTTGTAACCTTTTGGATCACTTAAGGCTCCAAAAGAACATTTCTTTCAAAATGTAACAGACACACACACAAATGCACACACACACAACTAATAACAGAGCTATCTCTTATTTGCTAGTAAAAAACTTTCTAAGTAAAGGTTAGCACTCAAATGTAGGAGAAGAAATCAAAGTCCTAGTGTCCGCCTCACTGAGCCACATCTGGGAAAGCAGTGTAGTGAAATGGATGGACAGGGCGACACTGGGAAGGGTGTTGACTCTGGACTCAGGCAGCCCGGGTGCACTGGGCACCATGACCTTGGGCCAATTACACCCCAGGCTCTCGACTGCGAGACAAAGGAGCAATAGCTGTTCCTGCTAGGTGGTAAGCATGGGCCCCGCTGCCTGACACCGAGAAGGTATCAGAATGGTAGTCATTAGTAGATGAGTCTTGATTCTGAGCCTAGTTTTCTTTGTGTAACGGAAACAGTGATTTCCAGAGGAGAAGATACGAGCACAATTTCTGAGCTTTAAAATTCTCTAGAGTCCTGATTATTATCAATAATTGAGACATCAGTGCACAAATATGTAAAACATCAGGTTACCAAGAGCTCAGGGCTTTTACCTCTGCAAATCCAGAGGGCACGGCTTGAGGGGAAGAGGGCAGGTTTGCAGGTCAAGGATGGTGGTGAGGAGGGGCCTCCTGAAGAGGCCGGCTTGGAGCCGAGAAAGGCAGGAGGGCAAGCATCTGTGTGACAGGCTCTCTGATGAGGAAGGCTGGAGCCACAGCCTACACACAAGTGGCCTGCGGGGGCAGGCACAAAGAAGAGTGAGGAGCAGAAACCCAAAGAGGAAACTGGGTCAGATTGTGCGTTGCCTGCCCAGGCATTTTCAGGGCTTAAGCTTTGACTCTCAGTGAAAACTACAGCAGGGTTTCCAGCAGAGAATGGATGGGATCTAACTTCTGTTTTAGAAGAATCACTCTGATTGCAAAATGCGCAATGGCAAGGGTAGAAATAGAAAGACCCCAGGAAAAGCTGTTGCAAGGATCCAGGTGGCAGAAATGGTACAGAAGCCTGAATAGAAAGAGCTCAAGAGAAAATGGCACAAAAGTCTAATTAGAAAAAATCGAAGAGAAAATGGAACAACGCTTAACTAAAAAATTGCAAACACATGCCAAGCGTGGTGGTGCATGCCTATAATCCCAGCACTGAGGCAGGAGAATCACTGCAAGTTTGAGACCAGCCTGGGCTACAAAGTGAGTTCAAGACCAGCCTAACTGCATAGCGAGACCCTGGCTCAAAAAGACAATCAATCAATCAATAAATAAATAAATAATTGCAAACACAAAATTTTGTAGAGGACTTTGAGGAGCTCATGAAGGTGAGGGGCCCTGAAGACTGAGCTTTGCTGATATTGATGCCCACCCTCATTTGTCCCAGCTGTGGCTTTGTGGTGTGGCAGACTGTGGGGTGTTGACTAAGCGGGGCCCTAGGAGATGCATTTGCAAGCAAGGGAAGAGACCGTGAGCTGTAAGCAGTGGTGCATGTACCTACAGTCCTAGCTTCTAAGGAGGCCAAGGTGGGAGGATCATGAGTTCAGGAGTTTGAGACCAGCTTAGGCCACACAGTGTGACTCCAAATCACAAAAGAAGAAAGGAAAGAAGGACGGAAGGAAGGAAGGAAGGAGGGAGGAAGGGAGGGAAGAAGAGAGAGGAAAGGAAAGGAGGGAAGAGGGAGGGAGGAAAGGAAAAGACTGCTTTTCGTGGGGAAAGATTTTGAGATTTAGGAGTAAGTACCACATGCAGATAAAAGTGCCCATGTGCTCTGTGCTCCAACCAAAACTCCAGAGAGCGAGCAGAGTCATCTTTCTAAAGAATCTGGTCAGGAAGTTTCTCTGCATAAAACCTCAGTGCTGGGGAACTAAGTTTCTCGCACTCCAGCCCCAGCACGTCCTGCTGGGTCGGCCTCCTTCCACTCCCTCCCTAGCACACTGTCCGCTTTGACACAGGACTCCTGCTGCCTACAGTGGCCTTCTGCAACTCTGAACTCTTCCTCATCCCTCACAGCCGGGACTGCGGCTTCTGTGAAACCATATCCTCTTCCTGGACCTCAGCCAAAGCAGAACCAACCCCTTCCTCCTCCTCAGCCTCAAAATCCTCCGTGCACAAATCCGTTAAACCTGCACACAGGACACAGTTATGAACCCTAAACCTAAGAGGGGCTCTTCAGCGGTACAACTATGGGCATTAGAATTAGACTACCTGGGCCGGGGATATAGCTCAGCCTCACAGCGCCTGCCTGGCAAGCATAAGGTCATGAGTTCGATTCCCAGTACCAAAAAAAAAAAAAAGCCAAAAAAAAAAAAAAAAAGAATTAGACTACCTGGTGCCAACACAAGCACTTGCTCCTCGCCTATAGCTTTAAACATGCTGTTCAATGTCTCCACACTGTTTCTTATAGAGAGAAAAGTACCTGGGGTGTTTTGAGTAGGTGGTACTGTTCCAAATGCAAAGCGATCGTGTTGAATCCTAAAGTGCAGAGACATGGGTGGGGTAGATACAGAAAAATTATGCATGCTTATCCATTGCTTCCCACCCGCACGCAGCATCATGCAGTGTAGGGGGTTGAGCATGTACTCTGCAGTCAGATGACACAAGTGTGTGTCCCACCTTTGCGTTTTATTCGTGTTCAAATTCTCCAAAGCTTAGTCCTGAATTTATAAAACAAAGGTAATCCCATCTATCACGTGAGATGTTGATCATGTGTGCATTATTTATCAACTCATAACACATCAGCCCAAAACTTAGGGGTTCAAAACCAGAAATAATGGCTTTTTAGTTCTCATGACTTTTGTGAGTCAGGAATTTGAGAGCAGCTGAGCTGGGGCCTCTGGTAAGACTGTGGCAGGTCATGGCCACAGCTCGCATGGATGAAGACTACCTCGTCTACACATCTGGTGCCTGGGATAGGAAGACACGGCCTGGGGCTCCCAGTGTCTCTCGCTGTACTTGAGAGCCCCAACCACATGTTCCTCTTGCACAGATTCTTCAGGGCCCTTCGACTTCCAATATTGCAGCTCAGGACCCTGAAGGCACAGAGAGGAGAGAGAGAGAGAGACAGACACAGACAGAGAGCAATACAGAGAGTAAGCTGTGTGAGATCACCAGTGCAGCCTGGTCCAGACGGTCAGGCAGCGCCTCTTTCTTTCCATTCACTGGATGTGAATCATGATCACCAGCTAGAGGAAAAGAATTAGGTGACTGCTTTTATTTTTTCTAAAATACTAAAATTTTGAAGACATGCTTTAAAAGCACCACGGTAGGTGACGTGTCCAGTCTTCAGTAAGTAGTAGCAACCACTATTTTTTGGAAAATATAGCAGATGACTTAAAAAAATAACATAAAAATGTCTCTGCCTCCTACCATTCCTAACTTCACTCCCTAGAGTCACCCCTACCTTGTGACGAGGTGAAAGTATTTATCAGTTCGGGCAAAAGATCAAATGAAAAGGAGAGGCAAAACTAAGGACAGTTTTCTCTTACCAATCAGTCGCCGCATGCCGTGCCCAATGTTAAGTACCTACTTTAATCCCCAGAATAACCTCATGGGGCTCTAGCATTATAACTTCTTTCATGGAGGACAACATTAGAGGCTATGAATGTTAACTGTAGAGGATTCGAGAGCTAGTAAAGGCATAGGAAGGAGTGGGAGCAGGAGAGCTGACTCCAGGACCTGTGAGTCTGACCACCATGCCCCCTGCTGGGAAAAGCAGATGAGAATTCTTTGACTTAATGTTCCCCTCCCTTGGTTACTTTACTTTGAGAGGCAGGATATCTATGGGAGTGGGTAGAGTGGAATCTAAGAATTCAAGAGGCTCTTAAACCCTGAAAGAGAAGCAGCAGGCTATCACCAACAAAGAGAGAGCACAGGAAGTGGCAGCCAGGACCCAGCCAGCCAGGCGGTGGGGAGGCCAGGATGCCAGACTCCGACCAACCAGCCACGCATCAGGCGCTCCTCGGCACAGGGGTCTGTTTCATCCTCTAACAAGCATCCTTTCCACCACTGCTCATGCAAGCTTGTGCAGTTCAGCTGCCTCCACCAGGAAATCAAAGAGGAGTTTCCCCACGACTCACCTTCAGGATGTGGAAACTATCTCCCTCTGAGCTGATGGGTGTCCCAAAAACACATGAAAGCTGAAAAGGCAGATATCATTGAACAAACATAGAGGAAAATCTCGTCATCCAATGCAGTCCTCTTGCCCAGGCTAGGGGAAAGGGGATAAGGAATTGGACCACAGTTCTCTCCAGAGCCCAGTGTATTTCCTGACCCATTCCCTGGACCAGGGCCTCAGAGATTTCAGCACAAGTGAGAAGGAGCTGTGGTCTCCACATGGCTCCAGCTGTGGCCAGGCTAAGTGGACACCATCCCCTTCCACATCTTACCTGGATGCCTTCTGACTCTTCCTCCTCCTGTGCCCAGCACCCGGTCCTTATCAGTTCCTCTCCATTCTTGTCTGAACTCTACTTGCCCTCATAGCGCATTCCTCTCTCCTGATGCAGCTCGGCCTTTAAAGCAATCCTAAATCAATCTCTTGGAAGCCAGTCGCTCAAAACCTACTTCTGAAACACATACCTTGTGCCAGACATAGCTCTACTACTGGGATTCAGCAAAGAAAAAAGCAAGAAAAGTCCCTGGCATCCCTGAGCTTATATTCTAGGTAGCTTGTTAGAAAAGGAGAATTTGTGCTTCACCAGAAAACAGCGTACGTAGGTGGGGGAAACACAAGAGGAACTTATTTCTCTTTCACATCTCATGAGAGCTATAGCCTGCCTGGCTTCAGGAAGCACGGCGGCTATGAGACTCATTCTTATGCTGAGTGATGGCCCACAGCAAGTCTCTAGGGCTCATTTGTTTTCCTGAGAAACCACTTTGAAGATATCAATACATAATACAACAACCATTGTTAATTTCCTACCACTTTGTAACTCTGTATTGTTTGTATTGTTCTTATGCTATTTTGTGACTGGATGTCTGTTTGTTAATATGGATTCCTTCTTTTATTTTTAAAATAAAATTTTTTTAAAAAGTCTCTAGGGCTCTCATCCCCACAACATACTCTTTAAGAAGTCACTATGCAACTGGGAGTTCACCGAGACAGACCTTATCTGAGGCAGGTGTGCTCAGTCAAAGAAATCATTTGGTCAAAGAGTGAGGAGAGTTACTGCACCCACCCGAAGCCACTTCTTCCATGTGGGTGACAGCAATGCTTTGTGCCCCCCACAGGGCACTTCTGGAAACAGGTCCTTGGCCTGTTGGCATCATGGGGGGGGCACAGGCTTTGCCAGGGGTTGGTACAGCTCCATGGAATTGGAAATCTTCTGGGTAAGAAGAGTTAAATATTCAGTAAGTTTAAGTTAAAAAATGATGGTTTTAAATTAACAAGATTTTTAGGAGTAGAATAATAATTTTACATGAATTTCAAAGTTAAAACTATGATGTCAAAGTTGGAAAAGTAGCTCAGCAGTGGTACTTTTACCTAACATGCACAAGGCCCTGGATTCAAGCCCCAGAAACACACACACACACACACACACACAACATATGATGCATATGAGGTCAAATAAATCCAGCTCTTTGACTCTCCACTTTAGGCTTTGCCAGCCATCCTAGGAGGTGTACTCCACCTCCACCCTGCCCTGTAGACTGGTTGAAAGGCTCTGGTAGGAGATACGCTCTGATGGTGCCTGGCCTTGTGCTACCTTCTCTCATCTGCTCTTTAGGCGGAAAGAGAAACATAGGTAGCCTAGAGCAGAGCCACCCAGCACATTTGCATAACAGCAGCCCAACCAGAATTGCCTGGAACAGCAGGGGCAAATCATCCTCTCTCAGTGTACCAAGCTTACAAGGTAGAAAAGTTCCACAGCTGCTCAAAAGAGCAGTTCAAACACCAGCTAAAGGACACGGTTCTTTCCTTTTTCTCACTCTGCCATTCTCAGCTTAGTGACACCTGCTCTCACGATGTCAAGATAGCCGCTGTGGCTTCCAGCATCCTATACTCAGATGGCATGAGGAGGCAGGAGGAGGAGGAGCATTCTGACCCATAACCCCTTTTTAAACAGCAAGAATGTCTTCCCTAGTACTTCCCACAGAGTCCTCCCTCTGTCTCCCTGGCTGGAATTGTAGTACATAAACAAACAAACACAACAGGGAGGAAGGATAGAATTTCTGTAGTTGAAGTCTCTAATTCAGAGTCTTCCTTCCCCTAGAGTTAGGGGCGGATCTGTCTTTCACTGAAGAGGGCAGTCAGTGATAACTGAGCCATCAGGTCCTTTCTGCAAGGCGGAGTCCAGCTCAGGCCCAGTGGGTCTTTGGCACTTCTCCTTCCTGATCCACCATCTCAGAGGACGCATGGGCTAACTCCGTGGGGAAAAGAATGTCAAGTGCCTTTCATCTCTGAGCTGAAAGAACTTGGTGATGTTTTTGTTTTTAATTATGTGATTCAGGTAACACTTTATCAGGTGAGTGCATCAGGCTGCTTTCCAAACTTGAGCAGTTCAGTCACCTTGAGAGAAAGGAGCAGACCAAGGTCAGTTGAAGCCTGACTTCATTTGCCAAGCAGTTGGGCTGTGTCTCCCTTGTCTGTGGCTAGGACGCTCACCTGCACCCCAGGAGCCCTGGGTGGGGCAATCAGGAGCACTGATCTTGAAACCTGGGTCTCATCAGTCCTGCATACTGATGGTATGCATCTCATTATACAGATAAGAAAATGTATGAGAAAACAAGGAAAGGGTTTGTTCAAAATCAGATAACATCCAGGCATGGTAATGCACGCCTGTAATCCCAGCCCTTGGGAGACTGAGGCAGGAGGATCATCATAAGTTTGAGGTCAGCCGGGACTATATAGCGAATTCAAACCCAGCCTGGACTACATGGAAAGACCCTATGTCAAAAAACAAAAAAGATCAGACAGCAGAGAGGCAGAGGCCATAAGAGAGTGAGACTGTCACAAGTGAATGTATGTTTAATTGAGACAAAGAGAAAAAACTTTTGTTGCTGGTTTATATTCTCTAAAGATAGAGACAGAGCTGCCCAAACATCTCAAAGTCTCCAAGAACTACTTTTTGGATGTCCCACTTTTTATCACGTCAAACATTTCAGATGCAGCTACATCACATACTTCAAATAATTGATTAAAAAAAACTCTGTGAGAAAAATAAAATCAAAATAGCTGGGCGTAGTGGTGCACACCTGTAATCCCAGCACTTGGGAGGCTGAGACAGGAGTTTCTCTGTAAGTTTAGGCCAGCCTGGGCTCTAGGGTGAGTTCAAGGCCAGCCTGAACTGCATAGCAAGACCCTCTCAAAAAACCCATAAATAAATAAATAACTTGGTAAGAGTGAAGTTATATTGAAATTGACTAAAAGGAAACATGTAGTGGATATTTATTCAAACATTCACTTCTTTTTTGAGGTGCAGTTTTTTCTCACATTTTTAGTTTATATTTTTACCATATCACACATGTCTGAAACATTTTAAAGACCCTTGAAATTTTTTTAAACTTTAGGCTTTTATGCCTACAGTATCAATGGATAAAGTAAGAACCAAAGAAGTGTTAGACCCTGTGAGCCCATGCAGAAGTAGTGGTGTTTGAGATGAGGACAGCATTACTGTATATCAGTCACTTACTTTAGCAGGGTGCCCAGCAGGACCAACCCACATCCGTACAGTATGTTATAAATCACCCAGGTCTTTCAAGTATTTGGTTTCATTTGGCTCTTTTCCACAGCTTAATAGATAGGCACTGAATTAATTTTATTAATTTTAAAAACCTTTTGGATCACAGAAATAAACATGTTGATCATCATGCCATTAGTAAGTGCAGGAACTGAGATTTGAAGAGAATTCTTACCCCTCCTACAACCTTGTGCTTCAGACCATAACAAGCTGCCTTTAACGCCTTGCTAGCAACTGTCTCCTGAGTTTCTACCTCAGGATTTGGAGATACAGGAGCCGAATCACTGTCTGAGACCTTTGGAGGAGGCTGTACTGGCATAGGAGCCTGGAGCTGAGATCAGGAGACCAAATACTGCTCCCCTCTTGCTCCCGACTTGAACATTCTTCCCTCTAGAAGTGAGGTTTTGCAGGTTCTAAAAGGGGAAGGGCAGGTTGTTCTTGTATGCAGGCTTCCCATGACTTCTTGCTGCTTTTAGAACAAAATCCCAAATCCTTCCCATGGCCCCTCCACCTCTGATCGAGTCTCTGAACTCTCCTTCCTGTCCGCTTCCAGTGCCACAAACAGGTTGTCTTTAAACAGACAAGTCTCTTCTATCACAGTGTTTCAGAGCAAAGTGTCTGTCCCGCCAGAGAAGATTTTCCACAACTAAATCTTCCATCCTCAGTTCTTGTTTTAAATGTGACTTCTTTCCTTGACCCCAAAGATAATACTGTAGCTTTGCCATCCCACTCTTTATTTCTTTCAAATTATCTTGTATTTATACTTTGCAGCACTTATCTACATTCATATTTGAGTATTTTGCCATCTTCTCTGACTCCCTCTGTAGACTAGAAACTGCTGAGAATGAGGAGAGTGTCTGTCTTGTTCATCACTGGGTCTCTAGGGCCTAACAGGAAGCATAGGACCTAGCGAAGCTTCAGGAAACATTTGTTGTATGCATGAATGAGTGGATGAATGAATGCTTTAACAGAGAGTCCTTTCTTCTCTTTGACTCTTTTTTACTCACCCACTCAAGTGTTCCCGGTGATTGAGGAAGATCTACTCAGAGGATTCATAGATGGATAGAGAAAAATTCGTTTAGGTTGGGGGAGCTCATTGGTTTCTACCAGCAGAATGAGGTGTGAAAAGTACCAAGAATAAAGAAAAATGTACAGAATGGAGGTTAAAGGTCATGGTAAATGTAATAACCCACTTCTTGGGGTGAAGATCTATCCTTACAATCTACAGACATTATATACTTTAGAGATATCCATAGCTTAGTAGGTGATAGGTTTTAACCCCTCTCATGTGTAAGTCATATGCCCTTCCCAAGGTAAGACTGATAATGCCCTGTTTTTAACAAGATGACTTAAGGTCTTCCTAGCAGAAGTAATATACTGGGTCCCCCCTGAGCAGAAAGTAAAACAGACCAGAATCTGCTTTCTCCAAACTTCCCGGTCTACCTAAGGTCCATGGAGGGACACCAGGCAGCCCTTCTGGCATTCATTGGTTGTTAATAGCTTTAATTAGACTGCATAATTAGAGACACTCAACTACCTGATTCAATGGCAATTTTCCATGGGATTCTAACTCCATGTGTCCCAGAACCAGATATCCTCAGTCAACCTCACCTCAGTTCAGTACATTTGGGCAGCAGAAAGCTACTGCCCTACCACAGTTTCCTTTCCCCTGAGGCCTCTCCTTTGTGTTTTTTGTTTGTTTTGTTTTGTTTCATTTTGTTTTGTTTTTGATACTAGCAACTGAACCCAGCGCCATCAGTGGGCTAGACAGTCATTCTAATGCTGAGCAACTCCCGAGACCTTTCTGTTGTACTTTTGAAGAGGATCTCACTACATTGCCCGGGTTGGCCTTAAATTTGAGATCCTCCTGCCTCAGCATCCAGAGTTTACAGACATGTGTCACCACACCCAGTTAAGATGCCTATTTTCAGTAATGTCAGCCATTCCACCACTGTCTGGGGAGTGATAACCCTGGGGATCTGTGGTTTCCAGCAGTGTTGGAAGTCTGTTTAGTTCCATAGTACATAGTCCATG